AGAAAAACGCAGGTGAGTGGGGGCAAACGAAAGATAGGAGCTCAATCCTTATGTCTTGCAATAAAGCTCAACGATTTTACCACTGAAAAATAATATGCACAAAATTCAGTCTCGTAGAAAATGTGAAGAGAAATTACGACATTGAAACCATCAAAGACTTCAGAAATATCAAACCCATAAAACTGCCCTTAACGGTTGGTGAAACAAACAAATAAAAATCTAGTGTTTAAAATAGCAAAACACAGTGGATGGAAGCAAAGGATAATACTGTAGGATAAGATATTTTGAAGTGCAACTGTATAGACGAGTTTTATGACGCATATCGAAGTATGGAGACAACAGGTTGGCATTGGCAGACCATAAAATCAAAGATGAGTGTATTCCAAGGCATCATGCAACATGATTTACGTGTACCTGCAAATACTGAAGTACGTGACTGCATAAATTTCTGATAAAAAATCTACGTTTTTCCTTTTTTTTTATTCATAACATTGTGGGCTTTTGAAAAAAATATAGTTCACAATAAAACGTTTTGACCATGAAGGGTCACAGTTTGTAACATTTGCTTCTGAATATCTGGACTTGTTAACAAGTCTCGTTGAATATTGATATATAAATGTCTTCACATGTACGGACGAGCTAATTCAATTCACTTAACAATATGAGTAATTAGATATGGACATCAAACGCTAACATCTGCTTCCTCATTCGGTGAACTTCAAAGACAACCTGTTGCCTATGGCTTTTTGGATTACACCAACCTTTCAATTAAGTCAGACGATGTTACAAAGAGCAATGCTGGCATCAGTGTCCGTTTGTAGGCGTCTATTCGAAAGAGGAAAATCGATAAGTTGATGCTCCGGATTTTTCATAATGAGTTTATTCTTACAAACTGATACCGATTCCGAGCAAATACATCCAAACTCTGCGAACACGAAGCATGACCCCAGGCTGGAGTCGGACCCACAAAAGCCCGCACCCTTACCTACACAGATTACAAAAATCCAATGCACTTCGACCACGGGGCCACTTGCAGCACTCAACAATTCAATCAGGCCAGTCTCCTGTACAGTTCTCCTCCAGTTTTTAGGATGTTATTAACTTGCAATACATACGATGTATGTAAGGACATTTTAACGTCATCTTGTAGGTTTGGTTCCCATTAAGGTTCATGTATTGTCTTACATGTGACGCGACATAATCGTACTGATAACAGGAATGACAGCTGGTTGATTTAGATGGCTACCTGGAATACCATCAGCCCTGCCAACTGACACTCGTTTGTATCAGATAGCGGTGGTAGACACGACATCATGATCCATCGAAATCGCTTTATTAGTGCTACAAGAACTGCACGCGTGAATATGCTATAACGTCGGTTGAAGTAAGGCTACCCCTTCACAAGGTCCCCCCCCCCTTTTGACATGGCGGTCAGTCACAGACATTTGCCTGATGATGTTTACTAAATTCTGTATAGCTTCAACCGACGTGTGCACAACTCGGTACGGCCAACATTGTTCAGATTATGATACAATGAGACATGGGCGTAAACTCCTGTGGGATGGGAGGGCGGATATCCCCCTCCCCACTTTTTAACCGGGGAGGTGAGCTTTTGAATCATCCCTCTATTCTAAGGCAGATGTTGAAGGGTTGTTGGACTTCCCAATGACCAAAATGTATTCAATAGCACTCAAAAAGGGAAAAGCAATAAATATGCCGTTTTGATGTAAGGTTCTGCAAGAGTGTAGCACATAATCATGAACATTAGCCTTGTGGTGTCGACTCCCTTCAAATTTCTACAGTTGGGCAAGTCATATCCTCCACAATTCCCCATCCCGGTTTATTTCCTGATCCAAATTTATGCCGCTGGAAGGAGATATATTGTTTTAAATAGTATGACATGCAAGTTGAAGTGTTGAACACTAAAGGGTCGTAGACAACCTACTAACCTGTCGGTAATGGTGCTTGAGTATGTACATGCAGCAGCCGTAGACATTGTGTCCCATACAGACATACTACCATCTACATAATAGTTTCAAGTTCCTCACACTTCGAATATTTCGTATATGGATTTCATGATAAGGCTTTCTAGAAAGATTCTATTCAAACATGAAATGGGACCTTTCGGACAGGAAACAGTGACCAAAATATGAAGATATATCCACAGAATAGGAACAGCTCTAAATTATAGAGTTACCATCTAAGGTGTGCCAGCTAAACTACATGTTCGTTGTTTGCTCTTAATATTGTTATGTGGCCTGACACGCAGCCTGGAACCATTATACATAAACCTCATCAGTTATACGACATCCAAATTCACTGGAGTTTCGATAACATTGCTGACACTCACGCCGACAAGACAACACAGAATAGATAAATCAAAAGTCATATCACAGATGCAATGCAGTCATAAGTGAACACGAACCTTACAAAAACACCTGTTGGATTATGATCGATAGCCTAATGTTAAACATGGTGGGATACGCTGAAATGATCCACACAAACTGACAAGATTTGCAACATCAATCTAAAAAAATGTGGCGGGGAAGTGTTTTAATTTTTTGTTAACCGTTTACGTGGGGCAATGTTTGTTCAGCTTTGTTCCTACATAATGTTAGGGCTCAACATTTCACCAGAGATAAACCTGTCCTTGCAGATTTTTCTGCTTAAGTTGTCCATTCAGACGCCCAGCTTACACGGGAAGAATCCTAATAACTGCAGGATTACTGAAGGGCCGCTTACCCTCGAGGTATATAGAATACTAACATGCTAATCGCTTAATTGCCCGAACTTTCAAGGATCGTTCTATTTTGACAACAAAGAACTGAAATCTCGGGTCAAAGAGCATAATAGCATAACAGACATCAATGTTACCTACAAATCACCTCCAGAACAGTTTGATTGACAACTAAGAACCGGTAGTTTACAGTTTCTATATAATCACATAATAAATCTCAGGTGTTTTTTAAACAATTTGTATTTCGTTTTTATTTTGTTTTTAAAGTCCTTCATTTGATAGACTATAACACAGCCAGTGGCCACACCTGTAGGAAACTAATTAACTATCAACAGAAGTCCGACATTTTTTTGTGACACAGGAAGACTATTTTCCCACCGCTGGCGATGCCTGCGGCTGACAAGTTGAAACGATTTTGTAGGGAAAAACTCAGTACACAATATGCCCCGTGCCTGGTTCACCTTGGTATACCAGTCTGATGTCAAGTAACGGGTCACAGTAACAGACGCACCTTCACTTACAGCCGGAAGGCATAGGGGAAAATTCCTGTGATTTCATATCTGAGTGATTTCACATCTGAGTGATTTCACATCCATTCCATTAGGAACAACATTCACATGCTTTCCTCTACACATTAAGAAAAACCAACTCTTCCGCATCGACTTTTCTGAGCCTTCAATTTCTTACAATCTCACAATCATTCCAGTCACTTAGTAGCAGAGATGGAACAGAGATCCTATTTAGGATATCTCAGAGAAACAACTTCAGGCCATGGCTTCAGGCAGAGCAACAACGAAACCACTGAGGTTTTTCATATTTTCCAACATTCGAGCATGCTGGCAGGCATAATTGTTAAATGAAGCGTACTCTCATAGTCAGATGGTAGTTGTCCTTGGGTGTCATATTTTGCAACCATCTGCATGTCATAAGACTGGACTGGCATGACACTGCAGCAAGATGTCGCATCCATACCGGGCATTTGAAATCCCATGGCCTTCACGAATATGTTAGTTACGTTAGCGTTGATTGTCCAACATTGCATTCAACCAAGGCCAAACAAAGAAACTCTGTGTTCGGAACAGATTGCGCGTCACAAAATGACAACAAATACCGACAATACATTCGTGAAAGTCTGTCAACGTTTCGGCCTTCATCTCCTTAATATCTTACTCCCTCTGGAATTCTACGGGCACGTTAAGATTGTTTTCAATTTACAATCACCCTAATCTAACTTTAAAAATTTAAAGTTTAAGGAACTACCAAGTTCCATCGCTTCATCCACAGTTTGAGCAACCATTCATGCAAAAATGCATACACCAGGCCATCTATTCGAACAAAATAATAACCGAATGAAAAACAATAAAAACAATTAAAGATTGCCCCATTCCTCCGTAAACAGACAACATTATAAATTACAACCGGTGAGTTATAAACAATAACAAGTAAAGTAACAAAAAAAAAAGAATTTAGTAACCTGAGATGAGTTTTCTTTTTAACTTCCCTTCCTGTATTATTCACTTGTAATGTGTCATCAAACATAACAAATCAGTAGAGTATCGCATATCATGGACCATCGTAGAGTTTAAACATCCTTGTTGTGTGCTATTGTTAAGATGTAATGAGAAGAAACCCCGGGAAATCTGGGACCTACAATGCATTGTCCAGTTCCTACACAACATGAATAAACTCTTTATGAACCCAACAAATTTCTGAACCCAAATTAAAAAGCCTACCTAAGATCATTTATAATCACTGCGCATGGTTAGTCCCACAATATACCTTCACCAAAATATCTGGCATTAAAAAACTATTTTCTGTAGCTTACTATTTATCACTTCTTTATTTCATCCGCAGCATAACTATCCGCCCAAGTATTAGCATGCGACTAGATAACGTGAGTCTTCACTATCAATTATAAATACAGCCACAAGAAGGAAGCTGGGGACTTAATTTCCAGGTTTCAGTCTGAAAATTGCTCGTGGGCATGGTCATGGTATGGACCTACACTCGACCGAGACTGTCCACATACGTTATATACTACTAATGGAATTATGAAGCCTATTCATACTTGTGGAAAGCGTAACCCCGATGGAGTTGGTCGACTTCCACGTTCGTATCAAGTTCCACGACATGGTTCATTCCTCAACGGTTAACTTCAATACCACTGCAACACTGATGTCGAGATCTCATGACACTGCAATACATGCATTACAAAAACAAACATACCAACATACTTCATCCGAAAATAAGTTTATCTGCCTACCATTGTTTCTGTCCTCGTTATGCAACGGCTCTCCCCCAATGTAGATAATTCAGTCCCCACTGCTTCCAGCCAAGCAATCTTCTTAGAATTCCTCCGGAACAATGACAGATATGCCCGCCAGTTTCTGAAGCACTCCTTCCGACTGGTTTGACAAGGTCTTTGGACAACTGCCAGTGTAAATCAAGTTTGCTCGGTAAATACTTCAATTCTCGCTCCCTTCTCCTGTGAACTATAGGCGCTTGGTTGAAGCATGGAAGAATTAAGTCACTCAGCTCCGTGTGTCAATAGCAAACCCTACGGTCAGAGATAACAGTCCGCACACAATGGATGTGGGTACATGGGACCAGTAAGAACATTCAGTCCACTGAGTGTCCCGAGTGTGTACAAAGGATTGACCGTGTACAAGGTCGCCAAAGGTCACCTGCATGAGTCTCTTGGTCCGGAATTTGAATAGACCAGATAGTTTCTCCAATATCGACAACTAGCTTGAAACATTGTGCAAAACTGCCATTTCAGACAATAACGAACAATGTTGTTGTTTCCTGCCTGTCTGATTGGCTTAATGCATGGCTTAACGCCAAGTATGTCCGCGTGATCACTGATAAGCACCGAATTACAATGTGTGTTTTGTGCGAACACTACCCTTAATTTCACAGCTGTTCTCAACCAGACACGTGGCCGCTCACGACCAGTGGCGGCGCTACGCGGTGTCAAGGGTGAAAATGCACCCTCTGAAGAGCCGCTTGCACCCACGTTTGCACACCACAAAAATTTTGTCACAAATTCTGACAGGGCGATCAACCTTTCCGTTTTACGATTCCGCATCATATTATAAACCCAGGAAAATGGTGGCTCATTTGCATCCACGCGATTATGCTTTGCCCCACACTTGCACCCACAGCCCCCGAGGTCTGACGCTGCCAATGCCCACGACGGTCAGTGATGGCGCCCTCTCAACGGAGCACTGATGAAACCTTTGCAAGTAAGATCAGAGTTAATTTGTTTAGCGGTTTCATTTGTAACTTTCTTGCGGTGTCTAGTCACGATGTAGCCAAGCACATGGCAAGAATAGGAATCGTCACTGGCAATATTTCGCATTATAAGTCTTTAATTAAACATGACGTGGGCAGAGAGTGACCTGCAATCAATAAAAAAAATACGATATATGGAAAACGTTACATGGTAAGTAAGGCAATAAACGGGTGAATTATTTAACATCAGTCCATCTTCCACTCTGATGCTGAGGACGTCACAGTGTATTTCATTTTTAGATCATGATTTCGCTCTTTGTTCTAATTCTACAGCCTGTGATCACAATTGTTCTATTAGACATCTGCTCGAGCTGTCTGTAATGAAATTGTTTATTAAATTAAGCAAATTTCTCGAATACTCTTGAAATCCGAGTGCTTTAATCTGAATATTCTTGAAATCCGAGCGAGAAGCATCGTTTTCACTGGCCTCACTGTTGGGGTGAAATCTGGGGTCCCCCAGAGTGCACGGCACATTTTTGAAGGGGCTCTGAGATCAAAGGAATAGGTGTCTTAAATTTCACGAACTTAACTTGAAGGGTTTGGCATCCCGGTAGGTACATCCGATGGGGCGCCTCCTCTTCCCCATGTTTTCGGGTAAACGTGATTGCGATCAATTTGACACTCACGCGATTTCTTGTGTTTAATTTGGCCTGACCTAAGCAACCAATCCGCCACGCAAATTGGTTACTTGGAGAAGAATCCTACAATGAAACGCAAAAACATGGCGGTTTTGTTGAATGATGCGAAGGAAAGTTGATGCCGCTGTAAATAGGTCAGAAAATTCTGCACGTGTACGTGCTAGTTGGCTCCATGCAGTCAAAGTTGTCAAAATGTGTAAATGTCCGTTGCTTTTGACAGTTCGAATTCACCTTACAAATCTAATTTCTCCATGGCCTTTTGACCCAGTTTGGCACTTCGAGTAACCCGAGATCGTCCCAAATTTGCTTTATAATAACACACCTCGCATACTCGCCTATACCTATGACGACATCACAGGTAAGCGCGAGGAAAGAAATTAAACGCGCTGTGTGTGGCGGTGGACACAAAATGTCTGCATTACCTTTTCCTGCAGGCGCTATCCGCTCCGAGCGGAACAAAAGAGGGCGTGTTTTTTTTTGTTTTTTTGTTTTTTTTGGGTTTTTTTTTTGGTACTCACCGCACAGGCGCGCAAGTATATACGCGTTTGCCGCGGAGCACGCTGAGTACGCGTATCTAATTTGCGCCGGCATATGTACGGTCTTTGCGTATACGCAGAACGCGTGCAAGAAACTCGCTTGTAACCACGTGTCTTTCTTTTCGCCGATTAGGGATGCACTTCAGCTCGGGGCGGATTGGACAATACCTCTCGCGCTGGAAGAAACAAAATTGTTACCAAAATGAAAAGGGCTAAAGAGGGCGCTCTTCATGTAAACACAGCCTGCGTGAGCATCCCCAGATATTTGGTTTTATCTTCCTGAAAAAGGAAGGTGTATGAGCCTCACGAGCCCCCTCTCCCAAGACATGGCATGCCATTTCTCCTTTGATATAATGTTAAGTGAAGACTATGGCATGTAAAACTGATACTCCGAAATGGAGATCCCTCTATAATTAATATTTCCTTATCTAACAGAAATATCTCTGTTAGAAATGGAGGTTTCTCGGGATTAAATGTAGACTTTGCATACCATAAAAGATGTATTTGATTACAGGTGCATCTTGTCAATTTTTTCTACGTAATCTTTTGGTTTATCATTATCGTTTTTCTTGAAGCACGGCTACAAGGAAAACCAGTTACTCAACGTAAGCAATCCAAATCAGAGACATTCGAGAAGTCAATTCAGTTTCCATAACGATGATAAATTTATTCACATCATCCTAAAAGAATGGGGAAAATATAACTTTGTTCTCCAAAAATAAGAAGGTCACATCCAGCTGTTGGCTATGAAGGTTTCAATGTTTGCATTTACATGTACAGATATTCATAATTGGTAATGATACATTAAATGATTTCCAATAATCAAATCACAACATTTTATGCGCTTGCTTGTATAGTTAACATGACAACGATCTATTTTCATTTCTGCACCACCTTCATACCACAATATGCGTAAGCGGTAACCATGTTGGTAACAAAATCAGTCTTTTATTTTGTCTGCGAGTCACATAAAATCACATTTAAAAACGACGAAAGTAACGCCATCTAAAGTAACAGCTTTTCCCTACCACAGAGAGATAAATAACCCACATTTTTCTAGTTACATGCTTTGAGCTAAATAATCGGAAAAATCAATTCAAATACACCTCTTAATCGGCATTGCTTTTTTTATACTTTAGGAAAATAACTCCATTTCTTACATGGGCCGACACACTCAATAAGCAAAAAACAGATAATGGAATGCATCAAGTCAAAAGGGCAAACAAAATGTTACCACTTTCACTATTCTTCAAGCATTGTAGTATTTTATAATCCAAGTATGTACATAAAAGCGACATCAAGGGAACACCGTTTAGTACTTGGTATTCTACGATCTTGATGAACGAACAGCGAAAATTCTCAACAAAATAAAAAACAAAAAATTCTGTGGGAACATTCACCCAATTCAAAACACAGCACACCACAAACGGAATAGCTAATATACAAGTTTTTTTTTCAAAAAAAAAATATGAAATAGATTTTTACGCAGAATAGTCGACTTTCTCCAGCAAGAATCGCAAGATGATGTGGCGACTACATCAGCACAGCAAACTCCCCGGAAGCGTTCAAATATAGCTTACAGTCCCGGGTGTTATTTTGAAAGAGTATTTCATGACAATAATGGACTTAACATTTCAGGTTGTGTAGACTGAAGCACCTATCGATTTCCCCTCATTAAAATTAACGCCGACTTTATATTTCTCACCAAAAACAGTCAGCAAAGACGCCTTTGGCGACAAGAATGCCAAGTTCAGTTCACTCACAATATTAAACCTGCAACACCAACAACATCCAATGTTCTGGATAATTATGGCAACAATAAATTCAACAAGATTTCGGTGAGATGTTTGCTATATTATTTGGAGAAATAACTGCCAAATATCAAGATAAAAACCACCAGAGGCACTAACATGATTACGGAATACTTCTTCAGTTTTACATATTTTACACTGTACATACAACACAATACCATACACGAAGAAACTTCCAACTTTCCTTCAACTAAAACACATCCGTCACGGTGACAGATTTCTGACCCAGAACAAATACGTCAAATTTGTACAAGCCTACAGACGCTGAGCTCCCTCCAAAATACTTTCTTAACCCAAACACTCCTCAATCCTTCACCTGTTGGAGGACTGAGGAGTGTTAGGGTAAAAAGAAAGAGTCTTACTCTGTTGGTATTGAAAACAAAAGAAACGATCAATCGTCTCCACTCAGGCTTCTTTGTGTATATTTGTTGTCATTTTTTTTCTTTTATTTTTTTATTTTTTTTTTTTGGTATTCTTTGTAATTATTTGTTTAGACAGTGCTTCTATAACAAACAATAATTAGTACGATGATATGCTTATGGAAACGTTAGCACATTCTGTTTACTCGGGTGATGGAATCACCTCCCCACCGCCGCACAAATCGTACTGAAAGGGCTCAATTCGGACTTCAAAGAACATCTGTACAAATTCCAACCACAGAGGGTTTAATACCATTTTAAGGTTTTTCCTTTATATTTCTATACTCCTCAAAACTCTACAAGCCACAACCGAACCAAAGAGAAAAAAAATTAAAACTTTCATCAATTTTCCCGAGAAAAATGAGAGTTTCTACTCATTTCATTCACATGGACGTTTTATCTTGAGACTTTTTTCAAGTTTACGACGGAGATAATTTGGTTTTCTTTAAGTGTAATACATATATTGAACAGCATCTATAGTATTACATGTAGATAGAAGTTAAGTAGTGAATAAACAAATGCTTGAAACGGAAAGCAAGTCTGACACGTTCATCTGAGAGACACAAAACCAAATCTATCCAAGGATATTTGTCATTCCAGTGGGTAACGGAGACTGTCAGTATTTACACTATCTGCACTGGTGCCAGTCAACTCGAAGTTGCCTCTGTCGACTTCTAAAGCCGAGGATCATATTTGCTGCTTGGGAGTAGAAATCCACCGTGTTCACGCAGCGACAGCTTTCTGTTCATATCCAAATGGGAAAGGATTCAGAAGCCGCCATCTTCCAGTATTGTGGCTACCAAGTTTCTTGCATCATCACAATCAGCTGGTATAAATATCGAAACCTCGTGAGTTTTGATTCCTATTGAGGTGGGGGTACCTCACGCACGCATTGCGGGAGTCTGTCAGACAGGTGTCCCCTCGGGAGCCTTTGGAAAGGCTATCGTACCATTAGGTTTCGATGATGCCCAAGGTTTCTTACGAATGCACGGTAACAGTGGGCTCCGCTGGATGTCCTGCTTACCAGTCACTGAATCGGGGGAATCTTCCCCGTCAGTCTGGCCGCGAGAGGGAGGTTTCTCTGCGTCGGCTTTCTTCCTCGGAGATCGGTCGTATGCCTCCTCGTTCCTACCGGTATCGCAACAGGCCGGTCTTTTGTGGTTCTCATGGACCAGTTCGTCGGCGAAAGTTACCCTGCTGCGCCCGGAGGCCGTTTTTGGTCTGGCCAAACCCGGGGCCAGACTATTATTGTTGTTGTGATTCCCACCTAGGACACCATTATTGTCATGGTCAGTTTGGAGAGCTTTCTTTTCTGTGACGTTTGAAAAGTTTCCATGAGGACCCAGATCCCATGTACCGTGATGTGATGAGTCTTGCGTGCCGTTCACCTCAGAGGTAGTCCCGCAGGCGTTGACCGACAGCAACGGTAGCTCATTGCAATCCCAGTCCGATGACTCGTTCAGTCCATTGCAACGTGCGTTGTCTCCTTTCAGTGCGTCCAGCTCAACGTCATTTATGGGCTGAGTCTCACTTTCATGGCCGTTGCCCAAGCTGACGTAGGACTGCATGGTCTGAGGCGACGTGGGCGCCTCGGAGACTGGCGTCAGAGGTTGAACCTCATCCATGCGGATGAAGGGAGGCACCTTGGCGCCGTTGGAGTAAACCTCGGGTGATGAGATGTGACCACCAGGTAGCTTGAAGGCAGTCACATGCTCGCTTGCACTTCCTGGGCCACCGTGGCCGCTACGACGTCCGCCAAAGATGCCCAGGTTACCAAAGCTGGTCCTGGTGTTGGATCCTCGGCGGGACACGACACGTGTCGGTAATGTGTTCTCTTCCCGCCATCGTCGGATTTTCCTCTTGATCACGTTCTGTACCTGTTCAGTTCAGACATGGGGAAGACAGCCGCTTTGAAATTATACTTAGGGCAAAAACAGCGACAAAGCATTCACACAATGACGAACAAATACAAAAGGAGTTCCAAAAAAGCAGAGAAAAGTTGAGCTGAGGTGAGATTGGGATTAAGAGACCTACACGAAATGCCCAACAAATGGGTTGCAGCAATGACTATAAAATATTGTGACGTTTTAGGGCTTTTAACAGAAAGGTATGAGCCCCCCCCAAAGGCTTTGACTATTTCAATCTTTGACTTCATGGTTTGTTAAAAGGGCAAAAATAGTGGTACAACCGCGATGATCAAACCTCTAAAAAAAGAAATTCGGGGCACTAATATCCAGACAAATTTTTCCCTAAAGCAATTCTTTGACGAGTCCTTAACGAATGTCTTGCCATGCTTGAGTTTGATTTAATTTATTTCCATTCCTCGCATTAGTTAAAGAAGCAAATAATTAAATAGCACGAATACACAGGGTAATGTATAGAGGACACCTGGTCGAAATATAAGCTTACATGAGGACAGGTTTTCTTAATCTAATGTGTAAAATGAATGATGCTTCTAAATAAATACACTACGACAAAGACAGAAAATTTCAAAGGGAATGTCATGATAGAAATACCACTAATTGGAACCTTTGAAGGGTGGCCTTTCTAATTTACCTCCTGGTTTAAAAACACGTAGATAACCGCCACGAAGAACCCTTGTAAGGAGCTAAGCAAAGTGCTAAAATACGAATAGATGTAGAAGGACGCTGTATTGGACTCCTTTTCGGATACTTGAGCCGGTCCCAACAAGAACAGGAGGTACGTCACACCAAGCAGGGGTAGCAGGAATAAAGTCCCCTTGACACCTTTCCTGTAAGGATGAGATTGATTGATGTTTTGGTTATTCCAACCAGGAATACAAAGTACCTGAATGATTGCGGTCACAGGAGGAATAGTGGACAGCTTCATTCTCTCGGCTCAGCGTGCTAGAAGGGTGGAGTGCTGCTACAACAAAATGTGGGAAAGTAATGAAATTGCAACAACTTGAGCCTGTCTCAATATTACAACATTTAGGATTGCTCTGCTTGTAAATGTTTTGAGCTGAAACCCGGAATATTTGTCAGTCCGAATGACGTAAAAGTAAGTTACGGTTCTCAGAACTCTCTCTTCTGCGTAAAATTCTCGATAGCAAAACATTCACATGACCAGGATACAGATAGAGTAGCCGGTAGCTGTTATTGCTGTTATTAACGGGGCAACAATGTATTTGAAATAATAGAAAATAGGCTCTGTCGTGTGCTCTTTAATGTGGACTGCCAAAAGGTTTTTTCTCTAAGTTATACGCTGGAATACTGGCTTACCGATACTGCTGGGTTTCTAGTGAATGCGAGGCTCTAAGCTTGGTCACCAGGATCGCCATGATGTGTATCAGGAAGTAGAGATTGACCGCAATGACCAAGAAGATAGGTGACATGATGATGTAATTGTGTGGGTCCTGTTCAGGGCCTGTGTTAACCCAACACCTGCAGAATGGAGAGGCAGGGGTTATATTCTCTATTAGGCTTTCTTGTTGACTACGTGTTAGCCCTCAAACAATGGTCTTTACAAAGGCATTTGACAACAGATGCACAAAAGCGTGTCCGCAAAATATCCCAATAACTTAATGAATGAATCTAGTTAATATTCCTTTGCTCCCAAAACAATTGTAAGAAACTCTTGATATCAAGCCGAAGCTAAGAAGATTTCATTCAAATGATGCATTACGGAGATATTCTAGATAACCTAACACGACTGCTGTTTGGTTCCGTCCAGTGGGATTTATCCCAACACTCAAAATGGCGTGCTACGTACAAGCCATTTAATACCCTATACCAAATGAGATGACTGAAATGGCTCAAAGAATGAGGATATTGAAGTGAACATAGTTCTGATGTGTTATGTTGAACTGCTTTTTATTTTCCATCAGCAAACAAACAGAGTCCTGATAAAGTGGTTAATATTACAGAAGTAAAGTAGGATCAGAACCTCGTTGCAAAAGAACAGAGATTGACTTCACAAGGTCAACTGAAGCTTTTTCTCCAAAACAAACTCAACAATTTTTGAAAAAAAAAAGATTAATTAAACAACCACTGTCTTCTGAAGTAGGCATCAGTTTTATTGAGTTAAAACTAGAAGTTCCAAAGAAATACAGAACCAAAAGATTTCTGCGATTGTTCGGGATTTGAATTCAGCCACTGAATATAAAATCTTGTTACGTCAGTGAAAATACCTCAGCGTCGCAACCTGAACTTTAAATGACATTTCTGGTGTAAGTGGAAGACACCATAAACTTAAACTCAATACCAACTCAGTCATTTCTCACAATTTCTTTAATGGAAAATGAACGTCACCTTTGGGGTGCGGGAGGCACTCTGCATTGCATGCAAACACAATGTGGTTGCTTTATTACGACGTCAGCTGGAGCCGATGCCTTCCCCACTTTGCTTTTTTTCAGGCGAAAAAGGATTAACTGTGAGGGACTCTGTTTTTATCGAAAATCAGGGGATTTGAACGTCTCAAAGAGTGAGTACTTACTGATCGCTTTGGGAAACTATTTTGACAATAGTGAATGCTACGACGAACGGAACCGGACCAGCTGTAATCACAAATGAAAAACACAACCAAATTTGATGGATACGATCACAGGCCATTGCCTTTAGCACAAATAGATTTTATTGAAAAATTTTCACCCCATGACACTCAAAAACGTTGAGCGAGTCTGTTGAAATTCGAAGGAGTGATGGCGTCCACTCTACATATCGAACAGCAAAATGTAATCTGCTTGTCTTTGCGAATTCCTTAAAAGCGATTCCAGCAAAACAACGGAAACGTTATCAAAGGTTGGTCTCATACTTTCAGTCCAATCCTCGGCAACGCGTTCATGACGGCTCACACGGTCCAACACCTTCAATAATGCTAATTACCGTCATATCTGAACTGAAGCCGTATAATAGCTGTGATGAAGAAATCGTTTCAAACAAATATCAAGTACACGTAATGCCTCCTTTTTGCACCAGAGGTGAAGAATATTTCTAGGGAAAAATAATCGGAATTTTGAAATATTTTTCATCTGCAGTGTTAGTTTCTTTTTGACAAACTGGTTCACTTTCATGGGTTTCATGGGTGACAACTACGTCTCCACAAAATCAATATTGTGGTATATGGAATGGACGCCATTCCAAAACAGGGGCATCCACGAATCACACTACGGAACACTGTGACGCCAGCAATCGAGTTAACCTCCCAGGAAGTCATTTCAAAGAAATTAAATTACGCGGGGTCGAGAGAACGGGCGTTGATTTAATCACAGAACACTCGTCCTTAACGACTAACGTAAGGTGTGGCGTGAGCACCATCATGGGGTACAAGTGAGTGTGGTCGAAGAAATCGATCGTCTAACACTTTGATGATCAATTCTCTGGTATTTTCAGATTCGATTGTGAGGCGCTGCACTCTTCAACTAGTTTTCAAAACACTGGTCAGCTCACATCAGAAAAACTTTCCTCTTTTAACTGTTCAACACAATTGTGTAACGAGCTTAAAGATAAAAAAAACCCACCAAATTAATAAAAACTTCACACCAAAATCAAGATTCTCTGTTGTGCCTAATCACAGCAGAAAGTAGACAGCAATTTAGCCTTTATCACAACCTTACACGCAGTGTAACCTTAATAACAAACATAGTGAGACGGACAAAAATCGATTCAGTGATAAGCCAGTTCGGTATTTCAACAGCACATGCCCAGTACGAGGCTATTCGGGGAAAGCTACGTGAGCGTGTGATAGTCTGTCCTATCAGCACGGCCATACGCAAACTCACGCTCGCACTTTGTTCCCGAAGACCTTGTCTTTATGAAATACCGAACTAGCTCATTGCAAAACTGGAAGTACACGCTCTACAATGCCACACATTCAACGGCAAGTTTCAGCCATAAGTACGCGCATTGCGCAGTGTATAACAGCAAACTAATGAATAAAGATGACCATTATCAGCTTTTCCCACTACTTATTGATGTGCATTTGTAACGTTTACCAAACATCCAGGGATTTTGTACGGTCCTATGCCATTTGACGGTGTAAATTAGGTATGCTTAAAGAAGCCTTTGGCAATGCATATTTACTAAACTTACAGTCCCCCGAGTACTCCGTGTCCAAAGAGGGGAAAATTACGGATACCAGCCGAGCTCTTTGGCTGAAGGAGGCACCACGATAATCCCAGAGAAATGCGTCAACAGCTTACCCCAGCCGAATATACAGTAAATCCAAAAGAAGTTTCGTCGCACGGTCAGTGCCCTGACAACCAATGTGTAGAGGTAAATTCCTTCCACGAACATCCAGAAGAAGTTAGTCATCATCGCATATAACATGAGGACGTAGAGCAGCCGGCAGATCCACTGGACAAAATCAAATAGGGAAAATTAGTTGAATGGTTAACCTAAAATCTGAAATCTCGGCTTCATAAAAATGCCAAATTCTAAGACTCAGATGCATTAATAAGATACCTGAGTGTGAGTAATCCGTTTCTTTTCCCATAGATTAGTCGAGATATTTTAAAGAGAAGCAACTTGATAGGCTTTTAGCAAGAGAAAATGATCAACAAGAGTTTCCACTTCTTAAAATCCCAAAGAAACCTTTAGAATTTTTCCATGCATGTACACTTTATTTTAATCTGCCTCTTTCACACAAAAATGGGTGATGCCTAACGTGTTTTATCCTAAATCTAATGAAGAGAAAAAACAACAAATTATACAATTCAAATTACAACAAAAATTGTCTGAATTCATGTCGTCCAACTCTTGTAATGTAAGTTTTCCATTTTCAGCCACGGACGTAAAGATTCTCTCGCCTTGTTCAAGTTTTCCTTTCGCGTAGACTATCGTTAAGAAAACTTGACATGAATAGTGAGGTGTCAAGTTAGTGAAAAATAGACACGCTAAAAATCCATTCCTAAAAGGTCGCCAAATGTCACAAGCAATTGATTTGAAATTGCGGTTGGAAAGCTTTAAAATGGCAGTGCCCGTGCCAATTGAATTATTTCACCCAGTTGTTTGAGGATGCCTCCTCCGTGTAAATTCAAAATATTCTCCATGGCGCAATGGTGTATCCTGTCTGCACAATCGATTCGCTTAAGGCAAAAACTGAAACGTTGTGCACCGTTGACAATTTCAAGTTAGCATAGTGACTTGCAAAAACAACGAACACCCCTTTTATCTTAATTGAAGTTTCTCCTTTTTTCGGCACGTGCATGTTCTTTTGTCCTTCTTCATTTCTGTTTGACGCTCTGGTAAGAGAATGCCACTATCTGTCAACTCCAAACTAATTAGTCGATTCTTCACTCCCAGCCAGGAAAAATTGTTTGAAATTCTCCACGCCCACACAAACGACTTCTTGGAAGCAAAACATCGTGAGTTTGGACAACCTCAATATCACATTTCGCTTTCAACGTGATATGTGAGAGTTTCAGTGCCTCTTAAATCACTGCTCAAGTTAAACATGTAGCCGAACATAAATAACAAGACCTGGGAACTTTATAATTTTTTATCGCTTGTTATTAAAAAAGAGATGATATTTATTCAAGGGTCAACGTTTTTTGAGGCCACCAAAAGTGCAGAGACGGGCATTTCATGGTACAAAAAGATATTGAAAGACAAAATGAAGTTTTAAACACGACATGCATTAGACACAATGTGGATATCCAACGAATGTGAAAGTTATTTAACACGACCCAAAAATCTGGTGACCACCCTCGATCTTCTATTGAGAAAATAGAGACAGCAGTTCCTTCATAATTACTTGTTTACATCCAAGCAGCAATTCTAACAATTCTAGCGAAAACGGCGAAGAGAAACAGCGAATAAATGAGTGGTCTCCTTCCAATTTGGCAAGGTGGACAGCTCGGCGAATCGTGAAAATAATAATCAGACGAATGTTTTGCCTTCCTGTCGCAAGTACGAATATTCCTGCGAGTTTTCCAAGCGATTGCCTTCTGATCAAAAGAGGAGGCAAAGGAAGGCCGGTCGCTCCACAATTTAAGCAAGGGGATGAGACTTATACATTTACAATCATCCGAGCACAAACTAATCAAATTATTGACAAAACGTGCACGCGGTGCACAAAGGTAACAGGAATGAGATCACGCTCTGCTACGTTAAAGTTAACAAAGTTAACGTTGCTAACTTTAACGAAAACTTCCCTTGACTAACATGGCAAACCAAGGCATCTAACGATCCATCATCATAGTAATTGTTGGGAAACTCCCCTCATCTGTCTCACACCATTACACGCAATTATTCGTGTAACGGGTGAAACTTTTTAAACAGCCAAAAAAGTGAAAAAAGCTGCAAATTGTCGACGTCCAACCGTCACTGTTGTCAAGAAGAGCCACGCCTGTCAAAAGTAGCATCTTTTCGATTTTGAATACTGTCATAAAGTTAGGGGCTAAATCTCAATAAGTCCATTTCGTGTTTTCACGAAGAGATCATACAAATCTTACTGCCTCTCCCACGCATACAAAATGTATTGACTGGAGAGGCCAAAAAAACAGATCAAGTAAGATTTTCGTTTTCACGAAGAACCACACATTTTCTTTGTTACTTTTACAGTAGCGTGTGCGTGAACACGTGTGCCCATGTCCCTTCCCCTTATATGGAGATATACATTGCACAGAAGGGCCCAAAGCCTGGATTTTCGATTTCACGAACAGATGCACATCTTTACTAATTGATTTCGGTTAGTTAGCCACTGCGGTCTTCATTTTAATTTACCTGGTTCAGGCAAGAGTTCATCTCTCAAAGAGTCTTTTGAGGCTTTCCTACCGCATAACCTTGTTCCATATTGGTATTTTTGCAGCATTTAAAAAGGAAAAACTTCTGGGGCGATTTCTCCAAAACCAGTTTTTCTTCAAAATCTACAAGTGTAGCTCTTCGTGACGACGGTGACGAAACTGACCTTGCGGTTGCCAAGGCCGTTGATTTAGAACGCCAACACTTGTACTGGAGCACTGCCAAAATATCCGACATCAAACTGAAGACATTTTTAACTCGATCTTTTGGATACGTATATACAGTGTATCCCTATGCGACCTACCTGGACATCCGATTTGTCATTCACTAGTCCAATTGTACCAGACAGAGTGAAGTAGGAGATGTATAAGACCACGAACGAACTGACCAGATTCCAATGGATGTAGTTGCGAACACATCTCAGACTCCTGCCGGACAGAAAAAGATCTCAATGGTTAGGTAACAGACATTAACCTTGCACTTTATTTGGAAAGTCACTCTGGAGGACTGACAAAAGACATCTCAGACAGTTCAAACACTGATTTCACTGATTTGTCTATACTTCAGAATCGAATTTCTCATGATCCCAACTTAGTCTGCATTGTGTTAATCAAGTTTCGTTAAGATTTACTAATATCGACGACAAATTGTTTTTCTTAGATCTATTCTTGTAATTCTAAAAGTGAAAAGTAAAACTCTCGTTCAAAAAGGTAATGAAACTGGTGTAAATAAGTTCATTTTTGTCTACCATCTCGATTTCGTTTATTTCTGCGCAAAAAATGTATTATTTGAAAAATAATAAACAGTGATTAATACAAACCAACTTACTTGAAGAATAAGAAGATGCAGAACGCCCCCACGAGGGCAGTAAAGGACAAGCTATAACCAACATACACCAAAACCTGCAGCGCGATATCGTTACTGTTTACGTCCTACATACAAGAAAAAAAAACAGATTTGAACAGTAGCAAGCATTCTCTTCCTGGAAGCACCATGGCCCTTCTCTGTCTGAGCGTCCAACACATCGTTATAAAATACCCCAGGACAGGGGCTAAACTAGGTATAAACGAACAATTGGAAACCTTAACCAATTCTGTATCTAGTGTGATTTGCGTCATTAACCACATTCAAGTTTCCAAGGCCAAATCGAAGTCAGCGTTTATCTCTCTCACGTAAATTGTGTTTTATTCTGGATAATACAAAACCTTACTATAAAGTCAGTTGATACTAACCACTGCCTGTAAATACAGACTTTTCCTTAGTTGTTGCGTTTTGGTTTTGGAATAATACCTTCTCCAATGTCAAATTCTAAACAGCTTGTTGGCATGGAGATAGAATTGACGTCATCGTTACGCATGTAGCAAAAGTCAAATAAGTCAATCTCTGGTGGGATTTTAATCATTAAAAATTTATCATGCAGTGGCTTGTTATATACTTTTAATAGTAACTTGTTAAACTCTAGTCCCGATCTGCGATAATAGACCGATTTTGCCCGCTAAATCGCGTGACGGGTATTAACCCCTATAGCACCGTGTGTTTTGGGTGTCGTTACAACCAAATTACGGTACAGTACCCAGCATATCAATAGTCAGAGTACGGTACCTATCGTCAGTTTTCTTTTTGGTGAATGATACCTATGGAACACTTTAATTTTGGTGGAAGCCATGTTTGTTTAAACTTAATTCCCACTATGGGCCAAGTGACTCAGCGGGCGCAATCGATCTATGGTATTCATTTTACCACACGATTTTAACATTACATCGAATTTTGATAACACATACAACCCATTAACATGCATGGTCGCACTCTTTCAAACTACTTCCAATAAAGCTCGTATCCCACCTTTGCATGACAAATCAATAAATCACAGCAACGTTGTCAATGATATTGTGAATTTTGGCAGTTAACATTTAGCTGACCAACGTGATTTTGTAAACTCGGCTGACAACAATCAGATTTTTACAATACAATCAGAAAGTACAATCGCGAAACTAAGATAATTGAGTAATCAGTGTCAAACTCCCATTGAGGTCACAGAACTTGATCAATTTTTGATGTGAGGATAAGGTAAATACCGGTATATATTTGGCAGTGCATGAGGAGTAGTTGGACTTGTTGGCCCAAGTACCATCCGGATTGCAGACTCTGGTTACATTGTCTGTGGTAAACAAAAACAGGTACAATGAAGAGGAAATCATTTCGGAAATACAAATAAATGGCGCCGGCGGTGAAAGCAGTTATCTGAGTGAAAAGCACTTTTAAGGTTTGCCAAAAGATGGAGGGAAAACGTTACGGCTTAAAATGACCCCGAAAGCAAGGAGACTTTCTGACTGATAACAAGAGCATTCTGAAGCGTTTGAGGGTTTGTTCTCTGAAGACTGTTGACGCCTTGGAATCGTTCAAGACTCTTATCTCCAGGGTCGGGGATTATTAATGGGGTTGTACGTTGAGAGACCGATTTCAAATGTCAAATCTCTTATCAACTTATGGAGATATTGTCGAAATTATGGAGTCATTTAAAAGGAAGCTGCTACCAATGCCTGCGGTTGAAATGGAGAGAAAGCCGGATGGTGGGCAGTCTTGTTTACAATGGCGTGAGATATGACGTCAATGTTCAAAACTTTGTAATATCATGTGATGGGGGGGGGGGAAGATCTAGGTTTTCGACGAATCATTAAGACAAGATCGAGTTAAATGAACGAGTGACGCAAAACAGTGCTACAGTAAAGTGGGTTCCAAAGCCATTGGCAGGAAGATTTCGCAAACTACTCGCTCGATCACTGGCCTACGTCTTCATTTGATTAAAGAATAACACACCGGCGCGATTTCTCCAAGCTGGAAATGTTTATTTAACGCGGCTACCTTCGATTTGTGCATCTTTCTAGTGGAACCAAATAAAACATTGCTAGCTGTGCTCGCAAGCACAAATATCGAGATGTCCAACAGACGAGTGCACATTTTCAAAGTTCTTGAATTTAGCGTCTTTCTTAATTCAGGAGGAAGTAAACCGAATGGGGGGATTAAATTCCTTCAAGTAAAAATTAAGGACGAATGTCGTAAACGAAACTGTTATTGAAGCGTAAACGTTGTACGTAGTAACTTATTACTTCACACTAGATAATAAATGGAAATATTTCTCTAGACCACAAAAGAGAGTTAATGGAACTCTAACCCTTTTTCCTTACGAATGATGTCATGTTTGGCTCAACGAAGTCGGCATGGTTCCAATACAGACAGCAACTGTCATCCTCATTTCAACATTCGTTCCGAACCTACAACAGGATATCTTGGATGTCACTTACATGATGTATCGTAGTGTACATCGTTCAGGACTGCTGGACAGGAGCGATTGATGATCCCAGGCTCACTTGCCGGCCAGCACAAGATGGTGTCGAAAAGACTCCCGCAGTAACGCCCTTCAAGGTAGAAATGACAGGACAATTATGGTCAGGACCTTATGCACTTATGCCCAAGCGAGGGCGCTGTGAGGTCAAGAAAGTTTGGGAATTAAGCCAAAAACCTGGAAACACCAACACATGTTAGTAAGGCGCAGAATTTACCTGTGAATTTTCAAGTTATACCTAAGACCAATGTATTGTCTTGTGCATTACTACTTGTTAGTAAACTTTCTAAGCGGACAGTCGCAAACAGAATACCGGTACCTAACCTGACAATTTCACCCCTTACCTTATTTTATCCAGCAAAACGTACATGTATTTATCTTTGGCCAAAGACTATACGTCAAGTGTCTACCTCTTACCATTTTCTGCTGCATCGAAATCAAGAAGCGTTTCCTCCAGCATGTTTCTCAGGGAGCACTGCCTCTCCTCGCCTATTTCCAACAAGTTATGGTAGGCCATGAAATGCTCCTCGTACTCCTGGTATATGTTTTCGAAGACCGTCACGTTGAAGCGTGGAGGGGGAGTTGCCAGCCCCGCCACGGGAGCAGCGGTGCCATTGGACCGGGCGATGAAAGTGAAGGACATGTTGGTGTCAGGGGTTGCAGTAATTGATTGGGTAGTATTAGACTCTGAGGCGTCAGTGGTGTTACTGGCTTGGACGTATGTTGAAGACACACCGACCAATGAGACGATTAGCACCTGTGTATTAAGAAGGCAGGATAGGCAATATATTAATATGATAACATATAAAAACTACTGAAAAGGTCAGCATTTCTTTTTTGACAAGAGTGTCGTTCAAGGAGTCTTTTGCTGCTACCCACAGCTCTTCTCAGAGCTGATGCGTCCTTCAACAAAGATTCAGTGGATTGGCAAAAACAACCCCGATGTATCTTCTCTCGAAGTTCCTTTATTTTGATTGTTTCCGAGCTGAGCTTGAATTAAAACAAAAGGGAAACCGATCTTTCTGCCAGATAGAATCTCATGCGGGCATACCGTGGGTTGCACCTCCGTAGCAGGCGTTAACGAGTAGAACTTGCAACTGTGCCGACAACGACTCGACAAAATGTCAAGCCTCTACAACCACTTAATATCGCCACGGAAAAGCCACAAGACAATTTTACGCAAAGCTAGAAAGGCGACCGGCTGGGTACAGATTTAAAGTTCATGCTGACATTTGCCGTCGAAACTTGCAGAAAACCGGAAACCGTGAAGATACAACAGAACCCAATCACGCGATCGCAAACTTTGGCTAATAGATTTCCAACAGTAACAACTTTTTTCCCTAGCCTAAGTTCACTCAAGTCCGGGTCCTAGTTCTTTCTGCCTGGAGCGTTGTTTCCTTCCCAGGGCCCCCTCCTCTTTCTGCACGGCCCTGGATGACTTCCCTTGCCACAAGCTGACCAAAAGCCTACGTGCGAGGCAGTTGAAAACAAAGCAAGACTCGCTTCCATCAAGCACCTGTCGTGTAACCATGTATACGCAGGGTGTTGAATACCTCGATGCTTTCTTAGAATGACATCTCATGGGTGCTACACAGAGGATCGTGTTGTGTTCTACGAACATACTGTTCAGAATCACACAGCACAGTTATATTCCATTGCATCACAGTAGCTACTTGAATCTCTGAAACCTTTAAGATTACAGAAAGCTGCACCTTAATTAATATGTAAATCTCATGGGTGGTCGCGTATAACGACAAAGTGATTCTATTTTCTCAACGTGTGCTTCTGTGCATTTGTGTGTTAGCAACTCGTTACTCTTGGGGCCAATCATTTTCTGTCTATCTCTCAACACGTTCGACATTCCACTTGTTTATTCTCGGCGGTACAGTAACATTTTAACGTATATTTATTTGCAATTTCTCATTGCAGACAACACGGTCAATTTAAAGAGGCTGTTGCCAAGTTCAGCTCACAGACAAACCGATTGAAAATAACTTCTATTTCGTATTCAAATATTCTCTACTTTTTGCAAACATCCTCAAGAAACTTAACTGACAAGATTACCTTTCAAATGAATCAAATATCCAGATAAAAGATAAAGGAATACATCTCAGATGTTCCAGTGGAGAAACAACTTTACATGAACACTATACCGCGCAAGCTGATATATGTACAACGAAACTAAGCACACATCGGACAATCAGTGGACCACGGTTAGTTTACAGGGTTCCCGTCCGACTCCAACATAATAGAAGCCCCGCAGCAAAAACGTGAGAACCCGTCGGTCTCTCGGAAAAAGCACGCAGGTGACAATGCCGTGACTTCCCCTCGCGTGTCACACCGATCTTCTACCAGAGGGCATCTGCGCGTCTACCGTAGATAGCACAGGTGTTTGATGAACTCTTCCGGGGGGCTGATGTACACGATCGCGCAACAGACCCAAAGGCTTTCTTGGTTTATTATCTGACGGCTAGGGACTCTCAGGCTAACCCAGTTGCCGGTTTGAGTTAAGTTTCATCTTCATGAGGGACAGTGTTTAATGTTAAGACAAGAGTAAGTTGACTGAGTGGGTCCTAGGCAGAAATTAGAGTTCCAAACTGACTTAAGTGGATCAGAAGAACAGTGAATAAGTAAGTGAATAAGTAGGTGCTTCGTGGCTTTCAAAGGTATGAGCGACTGTGTACAGCTGCCTTATTAAAGCCAAGGAGACAATGCCACGAGACTTGGGAGGTACTTTTTTAAAATATTTTCTCTCTGTTTCCCTTTTTCGTTTTTATTCCTTCTGGAAAAAGCATACTGCAGAGGTTAATAACACGCTTCGCAATGATGGCGAACTAAATGAAATAGGTTTTAATGTAGAGATAATTTAAACAACTTTGAGTGTTTTTCCTTTGATCTTGTTTTACCTAGATCAAAAAACAAAGCCAATTTGCTTTCAAGCTTACTTGAGATCATATGATGGATCAGCATGAGTTCCTGGGATTTACCCGCTGCCTGCTCTTTACTCTCACAGCACGAACTGGCGCTTTTTATCTAATTCGTGGACGGCATTACAAGCTATGCAATGGTTACAAAACAGGAACACTCAGCGACTTCAAAAAAGCTTCTCCCGGAATCAAGGAAAAGCATTTTCCCTCTAGACAAACATTCAGCCTGCTTTCAGGCGCCACCACGAGCCATGCCTGCATATGAAAACGCGGACAACTGTGAGTGGGATGGGAGAAGGACGCCTAGTGAGAGTATTTGTCTTACGGAGTCAGGGGTGTCGGTCTGGAGATGCGGGACGGGCAGGAAAAGTTGGTCGACAAAAGTTAAAAATCCGGTCATGCCCGCAGCTGGCTGCAATCTTCGGTAAAATCCCGGAGCTGTGATCTTGTCTTGAACACCATGTGCGCTGTATACATATCCAAAATTGTTTAAGTTTGAAAAACAAAACTTCCATTAGATCATCTATGACCGAACTGTGCCTCGAACATATTGAATAATTACATAAGAATGCAAACCAGAAACTCTACCAGAAACAATGTGGTGTCCAATGAAGAATGGCTGTCGCAACAGTCCATCTATGGACATTCAAAGTAATGACAAGGCTTGGGGAAACGGCATTGTACCGACTGCCATGCGCCGTGCAGTGGGGGTAAGAGTAACAGACATTGTTTCGCAGACGATATATTCACAAAGCTGGCCAGCAAAGATGGAACGAAGACACCAGGAAAATAGCAAGGGCGGTAATACACAGGTGCGGACAGACTGATCCAAGCTTTACGAGCAAAACAGTTTGGTTTGTCTCTCTAAGCTGCCTGCAGGCTGAAGGTTATTTCCAATTATTCCTTAGTTCCAGAGTCCACTTTCATTCATCTTTCCTTCGGAGGGAACGCCTTTAAAGCCATGCTTTGTTTGTTCTGTGAAAATTACTGAGATCTTTGTAGCAGACAAGTACGAATCAAGACATCAGACACGCAGAGAAGGTGCTTTATAAGTTTAAATTGTACGAGGCCAAATTTCTGCTCGACACTGTTGGATGCTCAAAGCGGCGCATGCGTGCAGCTAGACAGCGATGAGTATTTGACAAGAAGAATGGAGATGAGCTGAAGTTAATTTCCGGTAGTCCCTTGCCCACGTGAATCACTCGTCTTAAGCTTCTTTCCCCCCCCCCCTCCTGCGAGTTTCCCGTTCATGTTTTCATGGACCTGTCGCGGCGATATGCGCTGACATAAGGAATGCAAAACGAATCGCAATATTCTGATCCGAGCTTTTTAATAACACAGTCTGACTGTCCGAGTGACACCTCCAAACTCACTGCAAATCCACCTCATCAGCAGAAGCCTAAAAAAAGAACTGAGTAAACAGGATCCAATGTATCAAGTAAACACAGTATGGATGAGAGTCGCGTACTCTTGGTGCTCAAGAGTTATTTATACACCTGTCGCGATGGTCTATACAATCAATGGCGTTTGAACTGGAGACTGGTCTCTCTTGCGAACCACAGAATGAAATGCAGAAATTGGAATATCCCTGATCATTAGCGCTATACGTTTATCTATGGCAAAACAAAATGTGTACGATTCTTTCATTTTTATGAGGAGCGACAGGAAAACAGCATGCAGATTTAGTCTATGTGCCAAAACCAACATGGCGCAGCCTGGAGTGGAAAGAACCGTACAAAACGGCCGGTTTTAACCACAAATTTCGTGCCAATCTAATAATTCGGTCAGAGACGTCTTTTGTCGCAATCTACGCGCACCAACACAAAAGGTAACAAACTGAGTAATAACATCATATCAATAACTGTAAGACAATAACCGCAGACATTGCAAAAACAAAAGAGGCTGTTATAAACGAACCAAACCGTCCAAAATTTGAGAATCAATTTCCTACATTAATGCACTAATACCCCCTTGATTTCTGATAGACTAAGGCATCAATTACTTGAGATTTGTTTTGAACAAAACAGTCAACTTAAATTACATGGTATTGGCGAATGGAGATTTAATTAAGATTTGCGCAATTACGTACATAATCTCTGATCACGAAGTTCCATGACTGATGATGATTCCTACCGATATATAGCGCAGGTTTCCCGCGGCAACATGCTGGCTTTGACAGTCCCTTCAGTTTTGGGCCAATACACCGAGTCAGGGTACACATACACGTACACTATTTGGCCAGAAGTGTCTTCCTCGGGCTCGAATGACATGAATTTGCATATATTCTGACTCACATTCCAATCGAGTGTGCCCACTCATCTGCTGAACAGCGGTGCTGCAGTTCGAAGGCACTAGGCCTTTACCCACCCCCTTTCTTGCTGGACATTGCACTTACGTCAGCTGATGACCTTCGTCGAGACCAGCACTGAAAGCGAATATCAAGGACCAAAGTCGTCTCTGACTACTTTAGAGAAGGCAAGGTGGGATTCCCTGTATCATGATGTCATAGGTACCAGACTAAAAGGGACAACGGTCTCGTTAATCTGCAGGTCTAGTTCTACCTACGTGAGGTAAGAATACTTGATTTAAACATATGATGACGTCATGGGTACCAGACTTATCGTTGAAGGATTACACCTAATTTTGCCTTTGTAGCCTTTTCGAGTTGCATATTTTAGTCCATATCTTCGTGTTACAAAACAAACTACTTTGCGATCGTGGCACACTGTATTTCAGATATTTTTTCACCAAGCAAAAGAGTCATTTTTATAAAGTATACTTGAAAAGGAACTTGTAAGCAAATATTGCAAAAACGAAATAAAACACAAAA